TGCTCTCTGGTGCCCCCCCCCCCCATCTCCCCCCCTTGCCCGCCTCCCTGGCCCACCCCCCCCACGCCTCCCCCCCATCCCCCCCTCGTCACCAGCCAAAAAACCAATTGTGAGTCCTTTGAAGGCCCTTAATACTAGGATCCCTAGTATAATCCCTATACAACCCCTGTATCATCCCTCAAGTCCCTATAGTTTCCATTTTACTTTCCATTAATAATCATGGGTCTGGGTTATCTGGGTGTTAAAGTGGATGGCTTCGACCGAAGGATGCTTGGCCGCTGTCGGTCCTAAGAGCGTCGCCCTCGCCGACTTTCAAGTGAACATGGAATGGGGTTATATAGAGGTTATATTGGGGTTATGTTGGGATAATGGACAAGAAAGATACTTCCCTTCATTGCTCCCCCCAATAGTGGAGAATCACATGGAAAAGAAAATGGCAAGTGAAATGGAAACTGGGATTATAAGGTAGTTTATTGGGATTCGAATCACTGGCTCGGTTCTTTATGCAGAAGTGGATCGCAGCCACGTGCCGAAACTCTTGCCGCAGGAGGCGGAACCAAGCCCGGCGCCGATGCCACCACCATGCCCAGAGCTGAATAAGCTTCCAAGTCGATGCACATGGGTGGTTGTTAAAATTATGGCCCCTTTTGGGATCTCTATTATAATACGGCACTTAATATTTAGGGTACCCAAAAAGGGATCACAATTTTGACATCCACCCACATGCTGGCAACCAAAGGCATTAGCATGAGCCCAACGCAGATGCTTTTCCGCTTGCGGAGCTGGTTTGTGATGGTAGTTCTGGTGTCTACCTTAGGTGGACTCCCAACCTGTTATAGTGACTATAGGGGATATTGGAGATTATATCAGGGTCCTCATATGTTCCTATTATACCACTATTACAGGGTGGGGGGTCCTCCTAATGTCTATCGTAGGGTTTGCCTCCGCTCGTAGACTGATGCACCTCAGCCCTGAAGCAATATGGCCCATAAGTTTTGCACCCAAGGCTCAGGCTAAATCCCAAGCAAACTGCAAATGCTAGAAAACCTTAATCTGCAATTTAGGAGTACCCCCTGGCCTGTAATAGTGGTATAATAATATAAGAGGACCCTAACATAGTCCTTATTATCCCTTATATTCACTATTATTGGGTGGGGGTCCACCTGATCTGCAATCCTTAACCTTGTACCCTAAAACTCACTCTAAACCCTAAACCCCTAAACCAACTGCGTTGCCTAGGAGCGTCCAGGAAGTGCGCCTTTTCGTTGTCGCGGCTGGCCTGCAGTTGAGTTTCCCTGTGCACCCGATGAGCTATAGTCTAAACATCAAAAGAATGTAAAACGCCTTAAACCCATAATAACAGCCATAAAGGCCGTGATTTTACATACTTTTGGGGTCTAGGTACGTAGTCTAAATTCCTAGTATCCTCCTTGATAACCTCCATAATAGTACCCTATATAATCCCCTATATGCTCCCCTGTAAGGAGTTTAGATTATAGGTCATGTGCCATAAGGCCCCGAAGGGCTGAGGGTTTAGGGCTTCCGTGGGCGAATCTGGAGTACATGCCTCCCTAATCCCTAAATCCTAAAGCCTAAGCCCTCAACCCTAAACCCTCAACCCTAAATCCTAAACCCTAAATCCTAAACCCCTAAACTGGGGTGAGGGGCGGGGGAGTCAATGCGAGAAAGGCCAAAGCTCTCACCGCATGAGCTCACGGCAAACTTGCCCGGGTTTCCCTACAGCCTAGGGCTTAGGGTTGATGGGTTTAGTGGTGTAGGGTTTAGGGTTTAGAGTTTAGGGGTTTAGGGTTTAGGGTTATGAGGGATGCGGGGGATTAGGGTCATTAGGGGTATTAGGGTTTTGAGGGTGTATTAGGGGAGGGTTTAGGGTTTATAGGATCCAAGCCGTTAGTTGTAGAATAAAGCTGCCAGAAGACTATCTTGAACTTCTTCTTTGTACCCCGCTGTTAGGTTGGGCTGAAACTGGGTTGGCCTTTGGGATATTTGAATACTTTCCTTCATCGGCCTCACAAGGACTCTATATATACGGATATTTTTCAAAGGGCACCAAAGGCCAACCCTAAACCCTAAACCCTACACCCTAAACCCTAAACCGACTGAGACCTTCTCAAGAACCGGGGGTTTAGGATTTAGCCTTCAGCTTCAATCCCAAAGGCAGAATCACATGCGGGTCTGTGTAGGGCTTAGAGTTTAGGGTTCGGACTTTAGGTTTTAGTTTAGGCTTGTAGAGTGTGGAATTTAAGGTGGTGTTTAGGATATGTGGGGTGGTTGTCCAAACTATGGCCCCTTTGGCATGCCCAAAATCTACTAGGGGCCGGACTACAAGGACAATAACTTGGCAAGGTTTAGGGGTCACCACCCTCAAGCCTTAACCCTTTGAAGCTGAAACCGGCAAGAGCTCCAGGAATATGGTGGGCACACAGAGGCTTGGATTGACCCTAAACCCCAAACCTCTCCCCTAGAGTTACCTCTCTTATACAGCTGTAGTCCCCTTTGGGTTGTTCTCAAAATTATGGGCCCCTTTCGGTTATAGATTATGTTAAAGCACGTACTATGAAAGGTGTACCGAAATGGGACATTAACTTTGGGAACTACCCACATACCCCAACACCCTAAAACCGAAGCCCTAAACTCCAAACCCTAAACCCTAATTTCGGGGATTACCCACATACCTCAAAACCTTATTCTACCTGATTAGGCCCGTACATTACAGGGTCTCATAGGATCTTTGCCTCCACGAACCCTAAACTCAAAGCGGTAAATTGCAGAAAAAATACCTAAGCCCCAAGCCTTAAACACAACATAGGGTTTACCTAGACCCCAAAAGTATGCAAAATAATAGCCCTAAGCCCATGATAACAGCCATAAAGGCCATCATTTTACATACTTTGGGGCTCCAGGTAACCCCGCAACCCTAAACCCTGAGCCCCAAATTCTGCATCGCCTAAATCCATGAACCCCAAAACCCCGATCCTTGTATATCCTTACGTACCCCTCATTATCCCCATGCCCTCTAAGGATAACCTGCCCTGGGTAAAGCACACAATTTGCAATGTTGCATCCTGGTGCGAACAGACGGGACGTCAGCGAGAGCTTGCTCGCAGCTGATCTAGATCAATCATAGGGTTTGTAATCATGACCAGTTTGGCCGAGAAGTGGGAGGAGTTGGCGACAGTTCGCAAACGATTCCGAATCGGGGCCGATTGGATTCATGTTCCAACGTCTGAGAATGGTGTTGACATGCCTCAAAGCACCGCACCCGTGAAGGCGAACTTCCGAGTGACAATAGTCTTCATCGAGCATTCGGGTTGTGAAAAGCTTGGAATAAAGGCTTTGCACAAGGAGGTTCGCCCTGACCAAACTTGAGAATTACTCTATTCATTATTTGGGTGGTTGTCAAAATTATGGTCCCTTTCTGGGTACCCTAAATATTAGGTGCCGTATTATAATAGGGATCCAAAAAGGGACCATAATTTTGACAACCACCCATATGAAGAACAAGGTTAGAGATGCATATGCTTCCAGACCTGTTAGAAGGCGGGAA